AAGAGACTCTGATAAAATCCGTTGCACTACCACTACATGTCATATCTTGCTCTAAGCTTCCTCTCTTTTTGTCGACTTCTTGACAACCATGTAGCCATATTTTGGTGGGCTGTGGAAGGGGATCATTCCTGGATTCGATGGGTTTCCTAGCATAATATGTGCAGAAGCAAACATGATGGTGGGATGGAATTTCGTCGGTTTGAACATTTCAATCATGCCCTTTTGGCCTAGATTGGATGGCAAATTCTTTCTGATCCCCATTCGCTCTTGGCATAGGTCTATAAGTGGAAGTATTTTCCTAATGGGACTTTCCTCACTACTTCTGATCGGTCACGTCAATTGTGGGATGGCAGAGTGTTCTCTATGGTTGGCAGTTGCTGGTCCCGGGCCTTTGTTGGCATATTGGTAATGGTCGATCGGCTTCTTTGCTTCACTCTAGCTCGATTCCTAGCCTACACCTCACTTTCCCTGTCAATAATCTTCTGGTGCTCCCAGATGGGGAAGATCCAAAGGTGGCTGAGGTAATTTCCCTAGGGGGTGGTCAGTGGTGTGAGTAGCGGCTGAATTAGTGGTTTGACCCAACGACTTGCCGGGAAATCAAAACTATTCCTCTCCCTCGTGACGATGTGTAGGACAAATTGATCTGGCATGACACAATCGACGACATTTTTACTTTTAAGTTAGCCATCATCTAGCAGTTTTACTCGACAAGCAGGGTGGTTGATGGTGATCTCTGGCTAGCTGGATGGATCGATTTTGTTGGATCTATTTGTAGGAAGCTCGTATTCCGCCTAGGTTAAAGGTGTTTCTATGGCAGCCTTTCCATATGATGCTTGCAACGTTAGAAGCTCCTTATATGTCCAGTCTGCTAGGGTTGTAAACTTGACCCTAAGAACCCACTGACCCGCCCCGACCCTTAAGGTCGGGGTGAGTCTGTGTGTGTACAGGTTCAGTTTAGGGTTGAGTCATTTTTTGACCCTATGACCATTAGATATGAAATTCCACAAACAAACACATTGGACCTATTTGTAAAATTTTAAAAGTGTAGGTACTAAATTGTAAAAGTAAATAAATTTGGGTACCAAAACTTAATTTTACCATCAAAATTTAAGGACTTATTTTTAAAAAAATAAATATTAGATACTAAATTATAAGAAAAAAATAATTTTGGGTACCAAAATGTAGTTTGTTGAAAATTAATGTGTTGATAAGGGTCGACCCACTAATCCGACCCTCCCTGACCCGCCTCGACCCTAGAGGGTCAAGAAGGAAATAGGGGCGGGTCGGGATAGTTATACATCTTGACCCTTCAGGGGCGGTTCAGACAGGGTCAGGGACGAGTCAGGGTAATTTTCAGCCCTACCGTCTGCTGGGCTGATTTGGAAACGATGGAGCATTTATTTCTTGAGTGTCCAGTAGCTCGAGCTTTATTGGATCATTCTGAACTGGAATAATTAGGCCAGGGATTGCCTCGGCATACTTTTCCGCTTTTTCTTAAGAAGTTGATGTTGTTGATAAATCGGCCCCAATTGCTGATGGCGGTTGTAGCGATTCTTTGGAGAATTTGGAAATCCCGGAATTGGGTTGTCTTTGAAGGCAAACAATATGGGATCCCAATTCTAATGCATCAATTCCATCAACAATACCAAGAATGGATCAGTTTGCCCCTTGATCCCAACCTGCGTTGTCAATCCCTCAAACAAGGGAGGTCGGGCTTCCTAATACCATAGTCTGCATGTGTGATGAGGCTAGGGGGTTCAGTTTCCGGATATCTATGATCTGATGGCTGTTGAACTGCTTGTCCTCCGAGAGGCCATTGTTTGGTGTCTAGAACTTAGACTCACGGAGGTTTGCCTTGCTGGGGACGCGAAGGTGGTCATTGATAAGATCAATGGGGCAGATACTAGGGATATTCGCATTGGAACAATCCTTTAAGAGGTCGTCCGTATTTTCACGATGCATAATAGGTTTCATGTGCGATTTGTAGGTCGGAGTAGCAATAGGGTAGCTCATTCGGTGACTAGAAAAGCCCTCACTTTGTATCCGGCTACGTGCGTCTATTTGATTTTCTGGCCTGGCTGAATTCCAGGATGTAATGCTCTTTTGTTCTTATCAATATATGATTATCTTTTGTAAAAAAAATGTAATGCTCTTTTTTTTCTTATCAAAATATGATTATCTTTTGTAAAAAAAAAATTTACACAATACAAATTTGTTACCTATAAAATTCGTTATGCTTGTTCTAGTAATACCCGGAACTTATATATGAAATAATTGTTATATTGCCCATTTGTATATTTTAAGCAAACTTTTTAACAAATTAGGTTGCAAAATGTTATATTATTCATTTGAGGGTCAGCTTTATTGCATCATTTTAAGCAAGACTTCAACACTTTAAAGTAATACGACCTCTATGTGCAAAAGTTGCCCTCAGCTATAATGTCATAGACGTCACCATAAACAACTTTTGAAATGGTTGTTGAGTTGTATGTCAAAATTAATGCTCTACTCATTTAACCGATTAAACTGAGCATACATTGCTTACGTGCTTGCCACATGACAGCAATGTCACCCAAAATTATGTTTCTAATTATTTTTAGGGCAATGTCTATTTTTTACCCAAATATTTTCCAGATTCTTTTATTTTAACCAAATCTATAGAAATTCTATTTATTATCCAAACGTATTATAACTTATCAAAGTCTGGGCATTCATTCAGTTACCGTTACTTATTTCGTCCACGTAAGCATCCACATCAGCGTCTACCTCAGATATGGAAAAAACATTAATTTATTTTTCTCATATCACTAAAAAATAATTAGAAATTAAAAAAATTCATTGCCTCTGCAACTCCATCTTCTTCCTCTATTCTCCATCTTCGCCTCTGCCTCCCTACCACCAAACCTATTCCTATTAAACCAATCCCCATCGCCCAACCCCACACGTTGTTGCCCTCGCCCGCCGCCGCCGCCGCCCGCCCTCCAAACTAAGGAGGACATCAATGCCATTGCCCGTCATCGAATCTGGAAATCTAGATCTATGAATCGAAGAGCAAAAATTCAGAACAGGGGTTTTGGGGAATCGAGTTCGATGAGAGGTTGGGCGGCGGAAGGGAGCAGAGATCGGGAGGATTGCTTGGACTGACTCTGACGCTGGTGCTTGTGCAGGAGGATTGGAGGAATATGAAGAGGAGCCGACAACCTTCTATGATTGGGCTTCCGATTCCAACAACGACGATGAGGGGTTTACCCGTATGCCCCAGCAACGACGACGAAGGCCAAATCGGTGAGGAAGAGCGTGGGTGGAGGGTCCGCCGCTACTAAAGAGGGTTGCGAAGAAAGAGATAAGAGAAAGAGATCGGAGGAGTGGGGAGGAGTGAGAGGCGGAGGGGGAAGTGATAAGAGGGGAGGGGAGAAGGCGTTAGGTGTGGGATTCTTTTTTATTTTTTTATTATTAATTTTGTGATAATCTTAAATAAAAATAATAAATGATGGTCTTCTGACCGCCACGTAGGAAGTCAACTAATTATGGTCATATTTAGTCAACATTACTAACAGCAAAATTGACGGAAAGTTAACGTTTGGATAATTTTTAGAAATTCAATAGGTTTGGTTAAAATAAAAGAATCTGGAGAAGGTTTGGGTAAAAAATAGACATTGCCCTTATTTTTATTTCAATAATATTACCACTCGAAACAAAGCTGCGTCGGTAATTTGAATTATGACCTTTGTTTGTTCTGTGCTGTTATTCATGAAACCGTGATTATTTCTTATTTTGTTGCCATTTCTGTAGTAGCCTTTTATGGTTCAAAACTAGTATGAAAATATTTATTAATTAAAATTTTAATAAATTACATTTTAGAAAGTTACAAATACATATTAGTTAAAATTTTCTTTTCCTCCTCTCATTTCCGCAGTTCTCCGGCCACCAGTCTGCCTTCTTCTTCTCGATTATTTTCTTGTCTCCGTTCAGCCGAACTAATACTAGGGCAAAAATAAAACAAGAAATCAACACCAAAACATAAAAAAACTACCACTTCTGCCTGCACAAAAACACTACCACAACATACACAGAAAGAGGAGAGGGAAGCGGCGACAAAATCAATACCACTAGAACTTATTAACCAATATCATTACATATATGACCAATACATGAAGATAAATACCAATACAATAAAAACAATAACATTACATAATAATCGATACCAATGCGAAAAAATATCACTACAAAAAAACCAATACCAATATAAAAAAACCAGATCTCGTGGGTTGCGAAACCCTCATCGCTCCGCTTCAGATGTGGTCAATTGGTTCCGATGGCGTGAGGAAGGGGGAGGGAGCGTCAGGCGGTGGTCGAAGTTCACCACAACAGGCAGTGGTCGTGTAACAGTGGCAACCTGAACGGGGAGGGGGCGGCTGCCAGGGAAGAAGAGTCGGTGGTAGTGGCAACTGAGAGAAGATGAGGAGAAGAAGGGGGAGGGGTCAGCCGTCAAGGAAGAAGAGACAGGGAGAGAGGAGGAGGGGAAGAAGGATACGGAAGGATAGGAGAGAGGGATGATATGAAAAGTGATAAATTGGGGTAATAATCACAATCACATGTATTTTTTTTTTTCTTTCAAAACTATCCTTTTCACATTTGACTGTCCATTTTAAGAAAGGAGGAAACTGAACTGTATAGAGTTTGATAACCAACATAACTACTAAAAATAGTAACCATGCTAATGCATTCCGTTTTGTATGTTGAAGTGTTCTATTATAGTCTCTTATGATCTCTTTAGGAGTGCAACTCTAGTGAACTTAAAGATTATTATTATTTGAGATGTTTTCATCTTAATAAAGAATGAATAACATAATATAAAAATTGATAAAAATTATCAATCAACTTTAGCAAACAAACACATACAGTAATTCAGCAACCCATCATTTGAGTAGCCACCTAATTGGAAACCAAATAAAAATAAGGTAAAAACATAAATGAGCGACCAATCCGATTTAGTGTCACAAATAACCATAATTTTATGAAACATCCCACATACTTCCTAGAACCTCCATTGGATCTTCTGCACAATGCTCTTGTCCACTTGGAATGCCTTTGCAAGAATGTCAGTAGAAATGTCTGGCTTTGACCCAAAGATGGAGTTAGCTATAGTGATAACTCCTGGGTTTTGGCTGCTTAGTGTAGCAATGGCCACAACATTACCATGTCCAACGTTGCGTTGGAAGTGAATCAACCCGATTGGGAAGACAAATACATCACCCTTTTGGAGAATCTTTGAGATAAGACGATTATCAGGGTTTGATGTGACGAATCCTACTTCCAGAGAGCCTTCAATGACGGTGAGAATCTCGGTAGCTCTTGGATGAGTGTGAGGAGGATTGATACCCCATGGCACTAAGTCAATACGCGCCATTGAGATGCCTAAGGTATTGAGACCAGGAATCTGAGTCACGGTGGCAGCTGTGACTGCAGAACCAATAGCATTACGGGTATTTCCGGGAATATGCAACCCGGTGAAAGAGAAATCGTTGGCTTGGACCATCGCAGGATTCTTGCAAGCAAATCCGTTCATTTTCACTGCAAAGGAAATGAATCTCAAATTCAATCAAACAGTTTACAGAAGTATGATAGTCAAACTCGAATTATTGTTAGTAAGATAAATATGCATACCTTGATTGTTTCTATCTGCGACACAGAAATCCTGAAGAGATGCAGGGTCAGAGGCAATTGTGAGCTGGCAGAAAGTGAGAGCCAACAATAGGCTCAACTGAAGGAGAGTTTGCATTTTTCCCATCCCAAATTGACGAACGTATCGAGAGAGATAAACTGTCACAAATAATTGTCACAAATAATCAAGAAGAAGCTTGTAGATTGAGTGATGTCCTTCAATGCCCGTGGAAGGGTGTTTAAATAGAACCTGGCTATGTTATTATATGTGCCAAGGCTTGAGGAATTCATTGTAGCTGGCACTGATTTATAATATAGTAATCTACGAGGTTAGCCGTCCATCGGCGATTAATTGAAATTAAAAGATTCTAATGATAAGTTGCCGACGATAATGTAAAACGGCACATGCAACTATTATCCAATCCCGCATCCGGCTTCTCTTACAGAAGGAAAAAGGCCACGAAGTTGCATGGAATTTGGAACCATCACATGTTTAAAGAAAACAACAAAAAACCTTCGCATGGTAATCAACGTTGAGGATTTACTGAACTGGTCATATTGATTTCTTTAACATGGAAGTCCCATATGCATTCGATGAAATTGATGAAACAAAATTAATTAGTGGAAAACACGGGTGCTTCGGCAGGCAAGTGACACAGCCGGCACATTAGCTTACCCATTTCAAAAGTTTGGATATTTAGTTTGTCCAAGTCCAACGATATAAGGAACCCGGGTGGTGATATCAATGGGCCGACGGTATCTCAATATACTAAGGCCAGGTCGAATAATATTCATATGTTATGGAGATGGGTGACTAAACCTATTCTTATATATTATTGGTAAAAAGAACGTTGATATCTAAATTTTTACAATAAGAGTGAGAATGTATACTTCATATATGAATGATAAATATAGTATAACGAATAATTGGGTAAAAATAATTGGAATATATCGTCTAAAAATTTATTTGGAATGAAATTTCAAAATGACTATTTCAAATTAGTTTTAAGAATATATATTCTTTTTTTCAAGGGTAAAGTTGCAAAGTAAATTTTTAGAAAGAAAATTTTCTATTTAAATAATTTGAAAATTTTAGAATGAATATTTATTTGTACTCGAATTTGAAATAAATTTGTAAATATATATTTATTCAGACTTACGAAGCCGTCGCCTAGACTTGTCCGAATCTCTCCATCCCTCCTCTCGTCCTCCGAGAGTCCGAGTCACAATTCACAACCCATGACCCCGTCCATCCCTCCTGGTGCTATTCTTGTGCATTTCAGTGGGGCTAGGTGTTCAAATGCTGTGGTTATCATGGTAACCATTTTGATCAGTAGTATTTGAATAATTTGATTTGGTGAATTTGCATAATAGTTTGGTTTGGTTAAATTTTTTAGCTTGTTTGGTTTAGGTGGTTCAGTTTGGTTTCAAACACTTCTAACAAATCAAACCAAATTAACAATATTAACAATTAGTGATATATCTTATAAATATTATATAAAGATATTTGCATAACCACTCAAGTGTCAATGATTCCTCCCTCTTAGGCTCATAAAAAATAAAGTTTAATATTGTTCATGTAGTTTATATAGTGTAGACCACCACATATGGACTCCTATTTTAGATAAAACGCATGCAATATTTGGATGAAAACTTGAAAGGATGGTCTATTCCAGCCTATGACAATTGCTAAGAGAATAATTTATTTTACAAAACACAACACTTAATAAACTCCATACAATTGACATATATTTTTTGTTACGTGAATACTTCTGTTGACAGCAAGATAATTATATTAGTTCCATGTATTTATGTTAAGGATCAACTATATTTATGTGTTGATTGTTATGTTTTATTCATTATATAAATTGTGAATTGATGCATTAATCGGAGATTTCCTCACTCAATGATAATGTGATGTTATATTGGTTATCATGGTCAACCAATTAACCAAATCGATTAAACTTTAATTTGGTTGTTGTATTAATTGGACGGTTTGGTTATGATATTGTATTCAATGGTTAATAGATTTTAGGCATATTTAATTTGATAGTTACCATGGTAACCATTTGAACACCCCTAGGTGTATTGTTGGTTTTGCCGGGCATCAAACCATGGATTTTGCTTTCGACCGCTTTTATGATCATATAAGTGATCATTTCATCATTAAGCTTGTAGTTTTTAGAGATGATCTCCGATGGCGTTTATTTCATTCTATTACTAATGTGCTGTTCTATGGTGATGCGCAGGTGATTGTAAGGATGGTCAATGCGAACAAAACATTGCACACTTTTAGGTGGCACCGTTTTGTCCGAAGTTTAGTTCTTTTGCTCCTTTCTCCAGCGTATCTCGTTTCACTTCGTTACTTATAGGTATACTAGAGCGCACATATCGTGGCAAAACAAGCATTATAATTATACATTGTAAACACTACAAACCTTAAAACTATATGAACCAAACAATCACAAAAATCAAACCAATTGTTAATGTGAATACATATTTACAAGATTACAAAGGCTGTAGACAGAAGGTATATACACGTACTTAGGAGTTTAGCACTAACATCAAAATCCAATCCCACTGCTAGACCTGGCAAATTATAACCCGACCCGACCCAAAACCGTCCGAAAACTAGAATTTTTTGTAACCCGGAATCCGAATGACCCGAACCCGATAACCCATGATTTTTTGGGTCGGGTTGGGTGGGTTAGCGGGTTGAACCGTTAGACCCGTTCCATTTAATATATTACTCCCAAAATATGATAAAATCACTCATAAATTGGTGAGATGTTTAAAATAAATCACAAGGATTTGAATGACATGTTTGGAGTTTAAGGGTAATCAAATATCAAGTGTTTCTTGTATTAGTATTACTCTTGTGATTGTTTTTTGACGATTTGCGCAATTTATATTTCATTTCATTAGCGTGGGAGGATTTGAGAATATGTTAATTGACATGTGTTAGGTAAACTATTGTCATGCATATGTGAAAATTTGTGTTCTTTAAGAAAATATGAAACATGTTTGATATTGTTTATGAGAACGCTCATAATCCGAAATGACCCGTAACCCGACCCGAAACTGAATGGGTTGGGTCAATATTTGACCTGAAATTAGCTAAACAAACATAGACCCGACCTGTAATCGAAGTTTCCAACCCGAAATTACCCAACCCGACCCGATTGCCCGGTCTACCCACTGCTCTGCTAAATGCTTTTCTATTAGCAATTTAGCACTACCCTCAACTGGTAAAGAGCATTGTTTGTGAAAATTCAAGGCTATGGTACATTTGTATCCAATCTTCAAAATGTATCTAATTTTTTCTCGGCGCATGCGAGTCTGAACTATATATATATATATTTATTTATTTATTATATATCTATGTTCATAATTAATATCTGTAAATTTTATGAAAGCGGTCAATTTAGATATATAACCCTATTAGTGGAAATAAAATAAAAAAACTCATCGGAATGAAAGACTATGTATAGTAGCTTACATCCCGCTTATAGTAATACTAGCTTTTTGCCCACGCTTCGCAGCGGTAAGGAACTATATTTAAAATTTTATTAACTTATTTGACGATTCATTTGAAATCAAAGAATTTAAAAAAATATCAGGTTAGATACCTCCATAATTTTTATGTAGTACTGTCTTAATCATTGTGAAATAGTTACTCCATATGTTTGTTTAATTGATAAATAATAAATAATTATTGCTTCATAAGCTTACGTAATGTCTTAATCATTATAGAAGACTTCGTTGTACGTTTTTTTAATTAATACAAAAGATATAACTATCTCTCCATAAGTTTTACACAATGTATTTGCAATCTACAATTACATAACTATCCCTTCATAAGTATAACTATGTTAGGTTCGAATCGTTTAAATAGAATCTTAATCACAAAAAAGTAAAATTCTATATCACCCTTATAAAAACTGTATATGCAATTTGCGTAAATGTTCTTGATAGATGTTAAGTAAATCTTCCGTAATGTGGGGTCTAATAATAAAATAAAGTAATAGAACTATCATATTTTATTAAACTATTATGTAAAAGCTAACTGATCATGCGAAACCTTTGTGTAATACAAACTGATGAAATAGTTAATATTTTAGTTAATAATGAATGAATATTAATTAATAATAAATTAATTAATTTGCGAAAAGTATCATATTTGCTTAAATTGTTATGTAAAAATAAGTTATCTTACAGAACCTTTTTGAAACACAAATTGATGAGATGGTTGCGAAGTAGAGCCTGGGCCGGTGATTTTACCAAAGTTTGAATTCATTAAGTCGCACCTAGCTATGAAAACAAACCGATATGGCACTTATAAAAAATTGATCAAATGATAAACAAGTTAGTTAATAATAAATAATCTTTTACTCAAATTTATATTGCAGAAGACTTTAATAATACGTTTGTTAACTTTATGCATAAGATTTAACTATATACCTCCACAAGCTTTCAATAGTATCTCAATTAATTAAAGAAAATTTATGCAATACATTTGTTTAACTGATGCATAAGAAATAAGTATCCTTCATAAGTTTTAGGTAATATATTTTTTATTTATGTTATTGTTATTGACAAATGTTATGTGAATCATCTGTAAAGTGTGGTCTAATAATAAAATTCATGATTAACGTAGTTTTTATAGAACGTTGTTACACAAATCATCATAAAAGTATCATAATTGATTGAACTGTTGTGTAATAGTTAACTCACCTTGCGGAACCTTTGCACATTGCAATAGATAACATGGTGAGTATTTTAGTTAATAATAATTTTTTTAGTTATAGAATCATGTTACGTAAATTATCTGTAATATGTGGTCTAATAATTAAATTCATAATCTACGTAGTCATATTTGATTACACTGCGTATAAAATTTAACTGCCCTTGCGGAAATTATGCATATTGCAAATGGATACTGTTGGGTATGTGCATAGATGAGCCATTGGGGGACATGGGCCCATGGAGGCTGCTTAGGCCCAAGCCCGCTTCAGTGCAAAGAGATGGGGATGAAAGGTAGGAGTAAGGCCCAGTTGAGGATCAACAGGCGCATAACGACAAGAATGGGGCGGGGACCAGGAGGCTGAGGGCATGCCACCTGGCTATGTGGTCCCTGCAGGCGCCAGGGGTTAGGTGCCCAGGAGCTGACACGTGGAGGCGCCCGACCGTTGGGCCCGTACCGAGCATTTAATGACGCGCTGACGTGGAGCTGAATTCTAGGAGCCTGGTCGGGGCCTCGACGAGTATAAATAGTACTCGGTAG